CTATATAACCTACACAGGATACTACACAATACACAGCCTACATACCCTGCTGTGTATCACTATACACAACACAGCTACACATAGTACTGCACAGTGTACCATATCATCTACGTTGCACACTGATGTGTACTACAGAGTACAACTAAACTGCACAAGAAACAACCTACACACCCAGCTGTGTACTACACCACACAACCTACATAGTGTACTACACAATACTTCGCTCACACACCCAGCTGTGTACTACACCACACAACCTACACAGTGTACTACACAATACTTCGCTTCACACACCCAGCTGTGTACTACACACACACAACCTACACAGTGTACTACACAATACTTCGCTTACACACCCAGCTGTGTACTACACCACACAACCTACACAGTGTACTACACAATACTTCGCTTACACACCCAGCTGTGTACTACACCACACAACCTACACAGTGTACTACACAATACTTCGCTTACACACCCAGCTGTGTACTACACCACACAACCTACACAGTGTACTACACAATACTTCGCTTACACACCCAGCTGTGTACTACACCACACAACCTACACAGTGTACTACACAATACTTCGCTTACACACCCAGCTGTGTACTACACCACACAACCTACACAGTGTACTACACAATACTTCGCTTACACACCCAGCTGTGTACTACACCACACAACCTACACCTACAGTGTACTACACATACTTCGCTTACACACCCAGCTGTGTACTACACCACACAACCTACACAGTGTACAACACAGTACTTCGCTTACACACCCAGCTGTGTACTACACCACACAACCTACACAGTGTACAACACAATACTCCACTTACACACCCTATGCACTGTACAACTACACCCCCTGCACAGTGTACTCTACAGTGCACAATGTACTCCTATACATAACACACACTACACAGTGTACTATACACTCTACAACACTACACACCCTGCTGTGTACTATACAACTTACCCAGGGGCGGAATGACCATTTGGAAACTCGGGCACTGCCCGAGGGCCCAGGGTCAGTAGGGGGCCCCATGAGATGCCCCTGGTACCTTTTTCATAGGCTTTTTTGAGTTTTGGGAAAGGACACAGGGGCCCCATGATCCCCTATTGCCCGGGGGGCCCCATGAGTTGTCAGTCCTCCCTTGAACTTAACACTAATCAACCTACACTCCCTGCACAGAGTACTACTACACGGCCTATACACTGAAAGATGTACACACAATGCGCAAAGTACTATACAATGCACAATCCACACACACCCTGCTGTGTGCTACTATACACCACACAACCAGCTGTGTACTATACAGTACACCTTGCACAGTGCATTACTACACAACACACAGCCTTCTGTGTACGATACAATAAACAATCTAAACACACCCTACTGTGTACACATACCCTGCACAATGTACAACTATACATTACCCAACCTACAAACTCTGCTGTGTTCTATACAATACATAAGCTACATACCCTTCAAACCTACACATTGTAAACTACACATGCTCTGCTGTGTACTCTACACCCCACAAACCTATACACTGTGCACTACACACCCTACACAGTGCACAGTATGCACCCTATTTACAATACAACTTGCGCTACAAACACCCTGCACAATGTACACTATACAACCTACACATTGTACACTACACACTCTACTCTGTACTACTATACACTACACAGCCTACATACTTACACAATGTACACTCTATAAATACCCTTCTGTGTACTGTATACTACACAGCCTGCAAACGCTGTTGTAGACAACACAACCTAGTCTACACACTCCCTGCACAATGTACACTTTATCACCAACACACCCTGCAAACAATGCTGAATACTACACTACTACAATCTGCACACCCTGTCATGTACTGCAAAATATACACTACACCTACCTTGCTGGCTACTACACAACCTACACACCTTGTTGTGTAAAATCAGACTCTATACTCCCTGCTGTGTACTACCACAATCTGTACTACAGCTACCCTGTTTTTTACTACACAACTAACACAATACATACCCTGCTGTGTACTCCACCATCTACACTACTCGCCCTACTGTGTACTCCACCATCTACACTACTCGCCCTGCTACTCTCGTACTACACCATCTACGCTACTACTCGCCCTGAGGTGTACTACTACACCATCTACGCTACTCGCCCTGCCGCGTACTACACCATCTACGCTACTCGCCCTGCCGCGTACTACACCATCTACGCTACTCGCCCTGCCGCGTACTACACCATCTACGCTACTCGCCCTGCCGCGTACTACACCATCTACGCTACTCGCGCCCTGCCGCGTACTACACCATCTACGCTACTCGCCCTGCCGCGTACTACACCATCTACGCTACTCGCCCTGCCGCGTACTACACCCATCTACGCTACCCGCCCTGCCGCGTACTACCTACTCCACCATCTACGCTACCCCGCCCTGCCGCGTACTCCACCATCTACGCTACCCCCGCCCTGACGCGTACTCCACCATCTACGCTACCCGCCCTGCCGCGTACTACACACCATCTACGCTACCCGCCCTGCCACGTACTCCACCATCTACGCTACTCGCCCTGCCGTGTACTACACCATCTACACTACTCGCCCTGCCCGCGTACTACACCATCTACGCTACTCGCCCTGCCACATACTACGCCATCTACGCTACCCGCCCTGCCGCGTCCTCCACCATCTACGCTACCCGTCCTGCCGTGTACTACACCATCTACGCTACCCGCCCTGCCGCGTACTACACCATCTACGCTACCCGCCCTGCCGCGTACTACACCATCTACGCTACTCGCCCTGACGCGTACTACACCATCTACGCTACTCGCCCTGACGCGTACTACACCATCTACGCTACTCGCCCTGCCGCGTACTACACCATCTACGGTACTCGCCCTGCCGCGTACTACACCATCTACGGTACTCGCCCTGCCGCGTACTCCACCTTCTACGCTACTCGCCCTGACGCGTACTACACCATCTACGCTACCCGCCCTGCCGCGTCGTCCACCATCTACGCTACCCCCCCCCCGCCCTGCCGCGTCCTCCACCATCTACGCTACCCCCGCCCTGCCGCGTCCTCCACCATCTACGCTACCCGCCCTGCCACGTCCTCCACCATCTACGCTACCCCCCGCCCTGCCGCGTCCTACACCATCTACGCTACTCGCCCTGCCGCGTCCTACACCATCTACGGTACTCGCCCTGCCGCGTACTACACCATCTACGGTACTCGCCCTGCCGCGTACTCCACCTTCTACGCTACCCGCCCTGACGCGTACTCCACCATCTACGCTACCCGCCCTGACGCGTACTCCACCATCTACGCTACCCGCCCTGACGCGTACTCCACCATCTACGCTACCCCGCCCTGACGCGTACTCCACCATCTACGCTACCCGCCCTGACGCGTACTCCACCATCTACGCTACCCCGCCCTGCCGCGTACTCCACCATCTACGCTACCCGCCCTGACGCGTACTCCCACCATCTACGCTACCCCCCCCGCCCTGCCGCGTCCTCCACCATCTACGCTACCCCCGCCCTGCCGCGTCCTCCACCATCTACGCTACCCGCCCTGCCGCGTCCTCCATCATCTACGCTACTCTCCCTGACGCGTCCTCCACCATTTGCGCTACCCGCCCTGCCGCGTCCTCCACCATCTGCGCTACCCGCCCTGCCGTGTCCTCCACCATCTACGCTACTTAGACCGTGCCATGTACTACCACAGTCTACTCTACACACACACACTGCTGTGTACTACACACTCTAAGCTGCACACATCCTGCTGGTACACGGCATTGTGTGTGTAGTGTAGACTGTGTTGCACAAACTGCTTTCTATCCTCACAATTGGAGATTCTCCTATCCTGTTGTGTAATTGCTCATCGGCAGTGTGCAGTTCTCACGTCATGTACCACTCCTGTGTGCGCTCACCCTGTGCATCCTTGCCTTGTCAAGCCCCATTCACATCTGTATGTTTTAGTTGTGTGGTGATGCGTTAAAGTCCAGCACGCCGCATCTCTGATTTGTTTTTTGTTAGCAAAACGCACATTGCATGGAGTCTGGTGGTAATGCAGGTAAGGCACCTAAAATATACATGTGTGACCGGGGCCTCAGTGCGCACTCCTCTGTACACCACCGTGTGCACTCCTAACCTGTGTGCCTAGCGGATGTACCTAGAACCCGAGATATGACCGTCATGGTTGAAGATATACTCTGACAAGTATGACATGTTGTAGTTGGTGTGATCCCTCTGCCATGCGTCGTCAGTTCTAGATTTGGCTGTTTGAGCCTATATATGTACACAGTATATACAGGGGAGCGGATACCTACAATATAACTGTGATGGTAATCTAGAAGTATAGACCATGGTTGTACATATACAGGGGCGGACTGACCATTTGGAAACTCAGGCACTGCCCGAGGGCCCGGGGTCAGTAGGGGGCCCCATGAGATGCCCCTAGTACCTTTTTCAAAGGCTTTTTTGAGATTGGGCAAGGACACAGGGGCCCCATGATCCCCTATTGCCTGGGGGCCCTATGAGTTGTCAGTCTGCCTTGTACATATATATATATATATTTATAATTATGTTTGTATGTGTATGTATATATGTATATGTATGTATGTATGTATGTATATATATATATATATATATATATATATATATATAAAATCTGTGTGTGTATATGCACATGGGTAGCTCTGGTAATGAGCCAGCTACACATTGGGGGAGATTTACTAAAACTGGTGCAATCAGAATCTGGTGAAGCTGTGCATGGTAGCCAATCAGCTTCCAGGTTTTATTGTCAAAGCTTAACTGAACAAGCTAACGGTAGAAGCTGCATGCCCAGCTGCACCAGATTTTGCACAGTACCAGATATAGTGAATGCAGGGTCGGGAAGAGCGGATATAGTGAATGCGGGGTCCGGGGAGAGCGGATATAGTGAATGCGGGGTCCGGGGAGAGCGGATATAGTGAATGCAGGGTCCGGGGAGACCGGATATAGTGAATGCGGGGTCCGGGGAGACCGGATATAGTGAATGCAGTGTCCGGGGAGACCAGATATAGTGAATGCAGGGTCCGGGGAGACCAGATATAGTGAATGCAGGGTCCAGGGAGAGCGGATATAGTGAATGCGGGGTCCGGGGAGACCGGATATAGTGAATGCGGGGTCCGGTAAGACCGGATATAGTGAATGCGGGGTCCGGTAAGACCGGATATAGTGAATGCGGGGTCCGGTAAGACCGGATATAGTGAATGCGGGGTCCGGGGAGACCAGATATAGTGAATGTGGGGTCCGGGGAGAGCGGCTATGGTGAATGGGGGGGTCCGGGGAGAGCGGCTATAGTGAATGCGGGGTCCGGGGAGAGCGGATATAGTGAATGTGGGGTCCGGGGAGAGCGGCTATGGTGAATGGGGGGGTCCGGGGGGAGAGCGGATATAGTGAATGCGGGGTCCGGGGAGAGCGGCTATAGTGAATGCGGGGTCCGGGGAGAGCGGCTATAGTGAATGCGGGGTCCGGGGAGAGCGGCTATAGTGAATGCGGGGACCGGGGAGAGCGGCTATAGTGAATGCGGGGTCCGGGGAGAGCGGCTATAGTGAATGCGGGGACCGGGGAGAGCGGCTATAGTGAATGCGGGGTCCGGGGAGAGCGGCTATAGTGAATGCGGGGTCCGGGGAGAGCGGCTATAGTGAATGCGGGGACCGGGGAGCGGCTATAGTGAATGCGGGGTCCGGGGAGAGCGGCTATAGTGAATGCGGGGTCCGGGGAGAGCGGCTATAGTGAATGCGGGGTCCTGGGAGACCAGATATAGTGAATGTGGGGTCCGGGGAGAGCGGCTATGGTGAATGGGGGGGTCCGGGGAGAGCGGCTATAGTGAATGCGGGGTCCGGGGAGAGCGGATATAGTGAATGCGGGGTCCGGGGAGAGCGGCTATAGTGAATGCGGGGTCCGGGGAGAGCGGCTATAGTGAATGCGGGGACCGGGGAGAGCGGCTATAGTGAATGCGGGGTCCGGGGAGAGCGGCTATAGTGAATGCGGGGTCCGGGGAGAGCGGCTATAGTGAATGCGGGGACCGGGGAGAGCGGCTATAGTGAATGCGGGGACCGGGGAGAGCGGATATAGTGAATGCGGGGACCGGGGAGAGCGGATATAGTGAATGCAGGGTCCGGGGAGAGCGGATATTGTGAATGCAGGGTCCGGAGAGAGCGGCTATAGTGAATGCGGGGTCCGGGGAGAACGGCTATAGTGAATGCGGGGTCCGGGGAGAGCGGCTATAGTGAATGCAGGGTCCGGGGAGACCGGATATAGTGAATGCGGGGTCCGGGGTTTAGTAATATTTTTTAAGCAAAAGTAAAGGCAAAACCGTGGTTTTTTTTTTTGTTTTTTTTGTTTTTTTTGGGTTTTTTTTTCATTTTTGATAGAGTAAGGAAAGGTCATGTCTTGCCTCATATCAGGCCATCTTTTCCCTATTGGGGAGACTTCACTTCACTTTCTGTCCCATAGCCAAAACAGGAAGTGATAGGAAATTCGTTCAAAGTGAGGGAAATCCCAGGTTGTCACCAGAACTAGTGTCCCCATTATTATTATTATATAGGGTTTATATAGCACCAACAGTTTACACAGCGCTGTACAACATAAGGGCAGACCGTACAATTACAATACAAATTAAAACAGGAGGGGCCCTGCTCCATTGGAACATTTCCTCTTTTTTTCCTGTTCTTTGAACAACCCAAACATTGAAATTTTTTTTACTTTCGGTAACAAACAGGACAAATAGGGTAAATCTGTTGATGGCCAGCCCCATTCAACCTATTTCCTCTGAACCCAGGTTGTCCTGGTCCCAACGCCATACAGAGACTGGACAGTGAGAGGAGAAGCAGCACAGTGAATAAGCTCATCTGTCACACTGCTCTCTCCTTCTATCAGCATGCTTCTTGCCAGCACATGAACTAATTGGCTACTTGTACTGCTTCTTTTGCTGACGCACCAGCTCTGCTGTAATGTTACTCCAAGAGGCTTGTAGCAGGTGAAATGCGGGTACTCAGTACTTATATTTCTTGCATTTAATAATGAATTACTGATCTAGTTTGTGTTGAGGTCTGCTTAGAATTTGATTAACCTAAATCTGGCCCATGAAAAAACTCACCCAAGCTCAGAAATGAGAGCAGGAAGCCGAAGATATAACTGGCAACTCGCTTGCTTCTTCATGTAATGTCATTAATGGTACACAACAGATGATACAAATCCATGAAACCAACGCATTTGGTCCAAATCCTTCCTCATAGCTTTGTCCGAAACGCGTTAGTATTCCATGGATTTGTATCATCTGTTGTATCCCAATAGAGACTTTAAATGAAGAAGAACCCCTTTATTGGTACACAACAGATGATACATATCCATGGAAACTAACACGTTTCGGCCAAAGCTATGTGGGAGCCTGAAACGCATCAGTTTTTATTGGTAAACAGATGATACAGATGATACAAATCCATGAAACCAACGCGCTTCGGCCAAATCCTTCCTCATAGCTTTGTTTGAAACACGCTTAGCATTTCGGCCGAAGCTATGTGGGAGCCTGAAACACATCAGTTTTTATTGGTACTCAACAGATACAAGTCCATTAACTAACGTGTTTCGGTCAATTCCTTCCTCATAGCTTTGTCAGAAACGCATTAGCATTCCATAGATTTGTATCATCTGTTGTATCCCAATAGAGACTTTACATGAAGAAGAACCCCTTTATTGGTACACAACAGGTGATACATATCCATGGAACTAACACGTTTCGGCCAAAGCTATGTGGGAGCCTGAAACGCGTATGTTTTTTTATTGGTTCTCAACAGATGATACAAATCCATGAAAAGTCCAAAACACGTTTAGCATTTCGCTATGTGGGAGCCCGAAACGCATCAGTTTTTATTGGTACGCAACAGATACAAATCCATGAAACCAACGTGTTTCTGCCAAATCCTTCCTCATAGCTTTGTCCGAAACGCGTTAGTATTCCATGGATTTGTATCATCTGTTGTGCCCCAATAGAGACTTTACATGAAGAAGAACTCCTTTATTGGTACAAAACAGATGATATAAATCCATGGAATGCTAACGCGTTTCAGCCAAAGCTATCAGGGAGGCCAAAACGCGTTAGTCTTTATATATTTGTATTATTTATTTCAGGTACTTATATAGCGCCGTCAATTTAAGCAGCACTTTACATATATATTGTACATTCACAGCAGTCCCTAACCCTCAAGGGGCGTACAATCTAAGGTCCCTAATTCACATTCATACATACACATACTAGGGACAATTTAGACAGGAGCCAATTCACCTACCAGCATGTCTTTGGAGTGTGCGAGGAAACCGGAGTACCCGGAGGAAACCCACGCAGGCACAGGGGGAACATGCAAACTCCAGGCAGAAGGTGCAGTGGTTGGGATTCGAACCAATGACCCTAGTACTGCCAGGCGCAAGTGAAGATTCCCAACTCCTTTAGTAAATCAGCCCAAATCTGTCATTATTTGGGAGGAAAATTGGAGTACCCGGAGGAAACCCACGCAGGCACAGGGAGAACACGCAGACTCCAGGCAGGTAGTACCGTGGTTGGGATTCAAACCAACGACCCTAGTACTGCTAGGAGGAAGTGCTAACCATGTATCATTTATTATGTACCAATAAATACGTCCCATGAAGGAGCAACAGAGTTTCCAGCTACATCTGCTAAACATGGTCTATCTCTTTCAATCCCTGTGCAGCAGAGCGCAGACTAGAGCAGAGAGAGGAGCAGCACATTGAGTCAATCAGTTGTGCTGCAATACAGAGCTATGCTAATAGGAGGGAAGAGAAGGGAGATGAGCTCATCAGTGTCTTATTTTATTTCAGGTACTTATATAGCGCCATCAATTTACGCAGCACTTTACATATATATTGTACATTCACATCAGTCACTAACCCTCAAGGGGTGTACAATCTAAGGTCCCTAACCCTCAAGGGGCGTACAATCTAAGGTCCCTAGCCCTCAAGGGGCGTACAATCTAAGGTCCCCAACCCTCAAGGGGCGTACAATCTAAGGTCCCTAACCCTCAAGGGGCGTACAATCTAAGGTCCCCAACCCTCAAGGGGCGTACAATCTAAGGTCCCCAACCCTCAAGGGGCGTACAATCTAAGGTCCCCAGCCCTCAAGGGGCGTACAATCTAAGGTCCCCAGCCCTCAAGGGGCGTACAATCTAAGGTCCCCAGCCCTCAAGGGGCGTACAATCTAAGGTCCCCAGCCCTCAAGGGGCGTACAATCTAAGGTCCCCAACCCTCAAGGGGCGTACAATCTAAGGTCCCCAACCCTCAAGGGGCGTACAATCTAAGGTCCCCAGCCCTCAAGGGGCGTACAATCTAAGGTCCCCAACCCTCAAGGGGTGTACAATCTAAGGTCCCTAACCTACATTCATACATACACATACTTGGGACAATTTAGACAGGAGCCAATTCACCTACCAGCATGTCTTTGGAGTGTGGGAGGAAACCCACGCAGGCACAGGGAGAACATGAAAACTCCAGGCAGGTGGTGCCATGGTTGGGATTTGAACCAGCGACCCTAGTACTGCCAGGCAGAAATGCTAACCATTTAGCCACTGTGCTGCCCACTGTCTGATCACAGCCTGAGGGAGGGTCAAGAGCTGCAGCAGAGAAAAATTAAGTCTGCCATGCCAGACAGGGTTGCACTGCATAGCAGAGCTGGGTAAATTTCAGGATTGGATGGACAGAATTACAGATTTTGCGGTAAAACATCCCCCATCTATATATTTAATTTGTGTGTTTTAGCTGTTTGTCTGGAGTTCAGCTTTGAAGCAAGTTCACCGGATGGTCGCTCGGGGTGTAGGCTGTAGTGATGTGGTAAACCCCGAGAGGTTGAAGCGGGCTAGATAGAGGAAACCGTAATGTGGTGAGTTTGGAGGTGTAAACTGAGACCATGTTAAGTGTTTTTACAGAACTCCGGGCTGAGCAGAAAAATCTTTTTTCTTTCTGTCGGCTGTAATGGCCAAGGGGGTCTAGTTATTGCCGATGAACAATTTAGGCTTCGTGGCTGGAATCCCTAAAACTAGGAGGACCAATCAGAACCAGAATAACTCATGTCCCGGACCAGGAAAAAGTAAGGAATACATAGACTTTCATTGCTGATGTCCCCTTCTGAAAATGCTAGGTCCCTGGCTGTCATACTGATACTCTTGCTTTAGTGTTTTCATTGAGCGAGTATGCAAAGCTGTTCACTTTGACTTTGCTGGCTGCATGCTTGCCCTGGATCAGCGAATTAGAAAGTGTTCAAGTAGAAGCATTGGCATGAAAAGCAAGAATTGATTCAAGAAGGAGGTCAGCAGTAGCCAGGGGCGGATTGACAACTCATGGGGCCCCTGGGCAATAGGGGATCATGGGGCCCCTGTGTCCTTGCCCAAACTCAAAAAAGCCTATGAAAAAGGTACCAGGGGCATCTCATGGGTCCCCCTACTGACCCCAGGCCCTCGGGCAGTGCCCGAGTTTCCAAATGGTCAGTCCGCCCCTGGCAGTAGCAGCCATAGGGGCCAGAAATGCTAAAATATGTAATTTTATTTTATTTTTTATTTATTTCAGGTACTTATATAGCGCCGTCACTGTACGCAGCACTTTACATACATATTGTACATTCACATCAGTCCCTAACCCTCAAGGGGAGTACAATCTAAGGTCTCTAACTCGCATTCATACATACACATACTAGGGCCAATCTAGACAGGAGCCAATTAACCTACCAGAATGTCTCTGGAGTGTGGCAGGAAACCAGAGTACCCAGAGGAAACCCACGCAGGCACAGGGAGAACATGCAAACTCCAGGCAGGTGGTGCTGTGGCTGAGATTCAAACCAACAACCCTAGTACTGCCAGGCGGAAGTGCTAACCATTTAGCCACTGTGCTGCCCCTAATTGAGGGAGGGGGAGGAGCAAAGTGCAAATATTGCTTTTTGAAGGTTTCCTTTAGGGCTCATGTACACTGCAGCTGATAAAACTCACGTTTTTTTTAGCAGCCCCTGAACTCACCCTAATGTTTTCCTATGGATCCATGTACATTGTTTACAGGCAGTTGAGTTTGCAGTCGTTTTTTTGAACGCAACAAAATTGCATTCAGACGTCGATTTTATCAGTGTTTCAAACGCAAAACGCTTGTAAACGCGGCAATCGCATTTATAAGCTTTAATTTTTTTTTAACTCTTCCAGTTCCCAATGCTGTCCAGAGCCTTTTTTTTAACATGAAAAATGCATGCAAAGAGTTTTCAAGGTGCTCAGAAGGACCAA